AGGTCAAATATTTAATACCAGTTTTTAAAAGCATCAATTTTAAAAAACTTTATTTAAAAAACAAACAAATTTAAAAACTAATATCACGACATTGTAAAACTAATAAAAGAAGCATCTATTAAATAATTTTATCATAAATTTTTTACATGTTTTTAAAAATAATTTTTTTGTTTTTTTATCTAAAACAAATAAAAAAAATTAATTAAGAAAATTTATTATAGAAAATATTTTGATGGATTTTTTCAGCTTAGGGTATTTTATACATAAAAATATCATATACAATTAGGATTTTTAGGAGAAAGATTTCAAATCTAAAAATTACAGTCAACGTAGTCTAGTTATACTATAATATTTACTTGAAAACCTACTACGCAATATATTATTATATTTTGAAGCAAAATTGAATGTCATATTTTTAGTTAACAATAAAACTTACTATCCAGAATCTATCATATAAATATATTACCTTTTAGAATTTAAGAAATTTACCCGGATATTATTAGTTATGAGTGCATTCAATTAAAAAAACCTTAGTGTTTTCCATGAATCAACGTGTCTTAATATAATCAAAGCATTTTTCCTTTGTTGAGATGTTTTGAAGAGTGAAATATATCATGAAATTATTTATGAAATGTTGATTTCTAAAAAATGTAATAAATTTTTGATTTTAATTTTCAGGTTTTAAATAAAACAATTAAGAAATTGTAACATTATAGATCATGTATCAAATACATAAATTATTATTCTTAATTTTTATTTTAGCAGATTAAAATGTAGAGAAACACAAAATTCATTTCATAACTTAATTTTCTTGTATATGAATACTTTTATTAGCATGGTTTTATCATTATATTAGCCGATTCTAAGCAACAACACATATAACACGAAGCAACGCAAAATCGCCTAAAGAACTCTAAAATTATTTTATTTTTGTTGAAAACATCTCAATAAACATAATTTTAGTGTATTTAAATCTGTGAATTAGCATTATTTTCTAAGATCTTTTTTGCTAAGTATATATATGTAGGCTATTTGAGTAATAGCTAGTAACATAAATAATTTAATTTTAATGTCGTAAAACATGCATAAAATAAGAATTAAGGATTATTTTATTCTCAAACCAGAAATAAGAGATTGATTCGAACTAAAACTTTTAAAGTAAAAAAAATATTTCAAAATTGTTTTAATACCTTTAAAAATTCTTAGATGTAAAATAAATTTGAATAACAAATTGCGTCATCTGAATATTTGATTGTTTTTGTACACTAATATATATATTTTTAGCATTTAAAGACATTCTAATATACAATAAAAATCTTTTATAGTCAAAATGATAGATACTATTTATTACGCCTAGAAACATTGAACAAAATTAATTTTTTTTTATTAAATCTTTCAAGAGTGTTAAACGTTTGTTGATACCTTTCAATTCTTTATTTTCTTGTTGAAATATAATTTGCTTAAATCTGTCTCAAATAAAGCAAAAAAAATATAATTTTTATTCCAATAAATTTCTTTCTGTGTAATTTGAATGTATATTTTTGCATAAATAATACGATATATAATCAAAAATACATCCAACACATTAAAGAATAAATTTTTTAAAAAAAATATCTTAGCTTATAGTCCTATAATGGGAATATAGGTTTAAATTTCTTACAATCTTTTCAAAAATTTATAAAAAACAAAAATTATTAACTTATGAAAAATTATTAATCACTATTTTTAATAATTCTAAACTTACAAAAATGTTTAGAGATGTTTTTTTATGCTTAATTAAATTATTTTTTTTGCCTGAATTTTGCGATAATCACCGGAATAAATGATTTGCAAATTTTTAAAATACCATTTTAGCAGAGAAAAAATAGAAAAATTTGAAGAATATGGTCTTTATTAATTTCATTATCTCTAATTAATTAAATCAAATATGTGATAGAATTTAATGGGAATGAAAATATTTCTAAAAAAAGATTCCAAAGCAAATATTCATATTCGTATATTGGCAATAATGAAAAGTGAAAAAAAATGTTTTAATCTGTTTGTTATGGTTAAAAAGACATTATTAAAATTGTATTGATTTAAATAAGACGGTTTTATAACAGCACAAATGCTGATATTTCTTATCAATTTTTTAGTTATCAAATCAACGGATATTGCGAGCAAAAATGCACGAATAAAAAAGATCGAAGAAGATATAGAAGATTATGAAAATGATATTAAAATGAATTTGGGTATAATTGAAAGCTTGAAAAGCAAGATAAATTCGAGCGCTACGCATGTTACAAATAAACTTAAAATAGATAGAGAGATATTTGAACTTGAATCTGAAAAATATCGTTTAAAAAGAGAAAATTCCGCCAATTACTACAAAAAATATGGAAAAACTATGGAGCAGGTTTTAAATGAAATTAATGGAAAAATAAAAAATTTAAATGAAGAATGGTTAAGCCAGGAAAGAACTTATAGTGAAGTTGTTTCTAATATAGAAGGTTACAAGAGGATAAATGAATTGCATAAAAGTAAAATACATTCTTTACGAATAGAAAAGGCAAATATTCAATGGTCGATTTAAAGGATTCCAACAAAGAATTATTAAAATTTTCATGTTTATTCGATTTTTTAGCTAATAATTCATCTCTACAATTTGCTATAAATACATTCAGCTTACTTAACTCGTACAAAAATTAATCAAATTTACATCATTTATCATAAATTTTATTTTTTATTTGGTATTTTGCATAATTTTAATCCATGTTATATTTTTTATGATCATATTTATGATTATTTAGTTCATTATATTCATATAAAATATATATTTCGATAGCCTAAAAATAAAAATTACCAAGTATATCAAAATTTATATAAACAATAAATTAAAAACTAAGTAATCACATCAACAATTTATTGTGTTAATATCAAAATTAATTCTAAAAAGTTTAGAAATAAATGAAAATGATGTAAAAACATTATACCTAAAAAAATGTTATCTATGTAAAATATATGCTTTGATATTAGTTTTTCAAAATCATTGAAATATCCACAAGATCTGCACTTTTTTAGAAAAAAATTTCCATATAGCTTTATCTGCCGAAAAAACTATAGTAAATTAACTTATATTTTAAATTATTTTTGCATATTTTTTGATAAAAAATTTTTTTAAAGCTATTCTGTTAATTTTTATATAAATAAAAAAATTATTTTAGCATTAATATTTTTATTTTTTATGTCATAACTAAAAAATTAAATTTATCTTGAATATAGAGTGAATTAAATTTTAGATCAAGTTCTGATGTCATTTAAAAAGGTGAAAAAAATATTAAAAGATTGTATTTTACACTTTAAAATAATAAATAAAATTTTTTTGTTTCAAAAAAAGTGATTTTTATTGGTTTCAATTACAGAATAAAAATTTTAACTTTTTTTTTGATTATTGATTTCATGGTTTATATTTTTTGGATGCAATTTTTACTTAAAAGATTGTGTAAGCAAATTTTTCAGATATTATTTTTTTTGTTTGAAACAATTTTTTAAATGATTGCTTATGATCTAAATAATTTTTGAGAAAATAATATATTGATTTCACTTTATAAATGACAAAAATTTCTGGTTTATCTGACTAATTCAAAAACTTAAATATTTTAATTAACAATTAACTCCTCAAATTAATCTATTCAATGTGAAAATTTTAAATAATAAATAAAAAGTGTTATGAGGAAAAATAAAAGTTTTAGAAATTATTTTTTTCGAAATAATTGGGTTTTTTTAAGAAAATTTTTTAAAAATATACTGCTTATGTTAAATAATTATATTACTTCGGGTTTTCTATTCAACTTATTTTAATATGTTTTTCATTTTCCATCCTGTATTATTTAATTTCTTCTTCAGATGATTTGTTAGAAATTTATGTAAATAATTTTTACTGTTATTTTTAACATTTAATTTTGAATAATTTGTGCGTTTATTATGAACGCTTAAAATGGTGAATTATCAAATTGAAGTAAAACAATCAGATTTGTTATTGTAAATTTTAAAAACTATAAAAAGTAAATTATCAATAGATGATTTCTAATTGGCATATTTATCAAATAAAAAGATGATTTTATCTTTGCGTAAAAGATCTAAAATATAAAAGTTCGAATTGTATGCATCTAACTTTTTTGTTAATGGATTTTGAATCAGATAATTTTTTTTATATTTTTGCTCGGTCTTAAAATAAAAAAATTTTAATGATATCAAATTTTTAATTTTATATTTTATAGTTATCTTTACGTAATTATTTTAAAATATCTGTTTCCGAACAGAAAGTTCAGAGCAGTATTTTTATGTAAAAAAAACAAAAATTATGATTGCTTGAAATTTTTAAAATTCACGCCTTGAAAGAAACACAAAAAAGTTTTTTAATGTACAAAAGAATCAAAAATTAAAATGTGAGGAATTCTCGATGTCAATGAAAACTAATATGGTATTTTTTTGAAAATATTCGATATAGGAGTAATAATTTTTCAACAATTACAATTGATGTTTTGATTTATTATGCAATCACAATATTATGCAAGGTTTATATCCATCAAGCGAAAAAATATTCATTTTTTCGTCTATTATACACACAAAATTTGTAATTTTTTTACATCTTACATGAATAAAAGCTAAAATTGAAAGATTTATCTTTTAAAAATTTTTCTGTATTATATTTTACATCTTTTTTTTATTGTTTTTTCTACAAAAAAAAATAAACAAATATTTTAGAAATTAAAAAAAAACTTCATTTTAATTTGTGTTTTTGTGTGGCCTTATTATTTTAAATATATGCAAAATTAAAATATAAAACTTGTTAATTGGTAATAGTCTTCTTTTTATTTTCTTTTAATAATATGTTTTTGTCAAAAAAAAAAATAATTAAGGCAATGATAATAGTTTTTTAAACAACTTAAATTCTCATAGATTCGATATGAAAAAATTAATATATAAAAATTGATTATTTTGGTAATTCTACAAAATAATACTCCTGGTCGGACTTGAACCGACGACCCTCGCGTTATTAGCACGATGCTCTAACCGACTGAGCCACAGGAGCTCGTAAGAGCTGTCTCTTGTATATAAATCTACAATATATTATCAATTGTTTGTAAATATTGATAAATTAAAAAAAAATGTTAAAAGCTGGTCATCAATATTCACTAAAAAAGAAGCCTAATTATTTTAATTATAATTTAGAATTCATTTTTTCGCAATAGGGTGGATCGACTGTTATCATAATTTTTTTCGAAACTTAGAAATTCTTGTTTATAAACTAAACAAAACATAAAAAATCTTTATTAGTAACTAAGTGGCCATTTTAGCACATAATTTGTAGTGTTGAAATTTTTTAATACACCATTAATATTTTAATATGGCTTTAAAATTAATAAAATATACTTAATCTGGGATAAAATAAAATAATTATGAATATTTTAGAATAAATGAATTGGTTTTTGATTATTATTTTTTCTTATTATCATGTTTAAAAAACATTTTTGCTGTTTATTTGTCTTAAAAGTTTTCAAATCGTCTTTTAAATTGCTTTTTTAACATTACAATTAAGTTCAAAATAGAATTTTTGCTTTATTGTTGCTAAAAAAACAAAAAATGCGCCTTTTAATCCATATTGTCAAAAGTTTTTTTTGACACATATTTTTTTTAATCACTATTTAATATTCTAATATTATACTTGTTTATAGTTTAAATGCTTGCAAATATTTTTGGCCATATAATTTTATGTCTGTTTTTGATATTGCACACATCAAGAATTATCAAAACAAAATATCTTAAATATTATATTAAATGTAAGTTTATTGTAAATCGCTGAAGAACTTATTAATCAACATTTTAAAACATATTTAGTTACATAAGCTAGATTTATTCATATATAAAATTAACTGTTATTATCTTTTTCGGTGGATATTGATAGTATGAAAAAAATTTAAACGCTTTATGATATTAGTAAAAACTATTATCGAACTTTAGAAAAAATTTTTATTAATGAAATAAAAATTTTTTAGAATATAAGCATAATAACTACGGTTTCGAAATTTTCAAAGTCTTAATTTCAATATTTTTTTGGTATTTTATTTCTTTAGCGAAAAAATTTATGTTTTATGCTTGAAAATTGAAAAAAATCAAAAATGTATGTGAAGAGCTTTAATTTTTAGGTTGTCCGATATTATTTATATTTCTATTTAAAATTTTACAATCAAGTATAAGTTTTTTGTTCGTTAATAAAACACCCAAAAAGGAATACACTACCTTTTAAAATATCTATTTGAAAAAACAATATCAGATAGCAATATTCAGATCTTTTGACATTAAACTTATTCATACGAAAAAATTAAAATAAAAATCACTGTTGGAACAAATCAATAGAATTTTTAAGAATAGCTTACATTAGAAAAAATTCAACTTTGCTAAATTATTTCACAAATATTGGAGAGCATCGTTTTTCCATTGAGAAAAAACAGTTTTTTTCTTAAAAAGAAAAAAAAGAAGGCATAAAATATATAAAATTGTTCATGAAGATGAAAAAAAACAAAAATTGGAATTTTGTATTTGAAAAGTGGCTAAAATCGGAAAAGTTGGAATTAAAAATAAAGTATTCATTCATTTGCTCTAGCAAAAAATGTTGCTCCAGACCTATTCTCGTTATAAAAAAAACAATAACATGGTAATTTCGTTTCTACATTTTTTTACTTTTAAACAACAACAGTCAGTTTAAGTTTAAAAAAAAGTTGTTCGGTTTGGAAAGAAAACGTATGTATTGATACTGTTGGATTGTTCAATTATATATCAATAAATATTACGCATTTAAACTACTAATAATAGAAATATAAAAGTGTAAATTTTGTGTTTTTTATAAAATTTTGCAGTAACTTGTTTAGCGCTTCTGTATTTTTATAAGTGTTATGTGAATTTGTTGTTTAAATAGAATATTAACTTTATAAAATAATGCGCTTGATGATATCTGTTGTATAAAGCAGCCATAAAAAATTCATTAATTTTTATTAATGATATTTGGTTGATTTTTGATATTCTAGATACACAGTTTTGACATGTTTTTCTTGATTTATCAGATACCATAAAAATTTGTAAGTATGGCAAAACAGATAAAATTGCCTATGTCTGAGATAAAAAAAAAGCTTTTATAAAAAAAATAATAAAAGTTAAATAGTGCAAACTCTTTACGCTTTTAACCTAATAATAAGACTACCCTAAAAAACAACATTTTATGTTAAATTTAACCAAGAATAAATATTTTAATGGTATTTTTTTACTTTAAAACCGTTTCGCTAACAAAAAATTTAGCTACGCGCTCCGAAATATCATTGATTAGTATGCAAGATTTTAAAATTTTCACAGATAAATATCATAGATTTTTATAATTAAATATAAAATAAGGCTTAGCCGAATTATATATTATCTTCCAAATTTAAAAAACATAAATTTAGAAAAACAACGTGTACAAATATACTTTTAGAGACTACAATTTCCAGATTTAACATTATAAAAACTATCTTTTAATTGAAAATGTGTTTTTACGTGGCTAGAATAGCATAAAAAAAATACATCATTGATAAAATCCAATATAGATTGTCTTAAAAACATAAAAAATCATTCACAAGCTATTAAAAGAAAAAAATATTCAGTAGTATTAACGATATTGATCTATCTTGTGTCTTCTCTATTCTTCACTTCACGAATTTTTGTAAAAAAAAAATTTATCTGCTCGATATCTACTATTTGTTATATTAAAGCTTAAAGACTTTTTTTGATCTACTTTGTTCCAATTTTTTATAATCAATAACAATCAACTTCGTGGATGTCATCAGTTAAGCTTTATCTCTAAAACAAAAAACACTCAACATATATTTTACAAATTATATATTAATTTGAATAAATAAAATAAGTAACAAAAACCATAACAGGAAAAATTTTTGATAATCATAAAAACTAATTATATTACACATTAAATCTTTAATTGAGATACATAATTTGTAAACTCGATTATTATAATAATCATTTAAAGTTATTTGGATTATTACTTCATTGTTTCATTATTATATGAATTATTTTCAATACCCGCAAAATATATCGTTTAAAATCTAGATCAAAAATGATATGTAATCTAATTAATTCACAATATAACGATTTTAGTTTATTTCATAACATTATAATAGAAAAAAATTGTTTAAAATGACTATTTAATGATATTAATAATTTTTATTTGATATTGTGTACAATGGCATAAATAAATGGTATTTTTTTAACACGCAATAACATATTAGTTTGTTAATTGATTTTTTTTTCAATATAAAATGATTTTTACGAGAAAAATATGAATTTATAACAAACTTTTTTTGTTATATTGTATAAAGTGCATTAGATTCATATTTAAAATCCCTTTAACTCTAGTACAATTCAATTTAATATAATAAAAAATTTTGGCGTAAAATAACTAAATAAACTGCTAATTTTTATTTATTTATGCAAACTTGATAAACCTTTAATATACAAAAGAGCCATATTTATATTTGGTACATATTTAAAAAGAGAATTGTTGTCAATTATAAATTTTCTTAGAAAAATCAAATTTGCGCATAATATAATACAAGAAATTAGCTTTAATATTACATGATCAATGTCATAGTATTTAGTAAGATTTTTTTGTTCTGAAATAGAATAAACATAATTTTTGTTATTGTTTTTTAAATAATATTCTACATATTTGATGATATCCTCTCGCTTATGAAAAATTAGCATTGAGTTGAGTATTTTTTTATTCTGTAATTTTTACAATATATTATAATATTTTAAAATAGAAATTGAGTTTTGAGTAGTTTTAGACCATTTTGATTGATCGTTGAAATTTTATACTATATGTTATAATATAAATAAGCATTTACTCCTACATGTGCAGTAAAACTTTTTTTTTGATGCCCCCTAATTTTTTTTTATTGAAATGGTTTGTAAATTACGATAAAAAAACAAATTTATCAAATGAAATAATTTTATGGTCTGATTTATTTCAAGCAATGTATGATAAATATGCGATATGAACTCGTAAAAGAAAAAATAATATTATCATTTTATATTTCTTAAAAATCTATAAAATTTGTAAAATTATATATATTTATAATAATTCTATTATATATAATTGATGTAAATCTTAATATAACATTATATCAATAATAATAAAAAAAACCTATTAGATGGTGATGTAAATAAATTTGCAAAGAACGTAAAAATATATAAAATTTCAGTATCTAATCTTGTATTGTAGATTTTCACGTATTTATATTTTCGTGTTTTTAAAACAAAAAGTATTATAGAATTAGTAGTACAAACATTGAACTAAAACAATAAGAACAAATATATAAAAATTTATATATTTTTATAATAATAAACTTTTTATTAGTTATAATTTATAAAATATCAACATAAAAAGGAATCAACAAGCCTGATTCATGCATTACAATGAAAATAAAGATTCAAAAGCGATTGCGCTTCTTCAAATTTTTAATTCTATTCTTTTATTGTTTTTTGAGTGCATTAATAAAATTTAAAAATTTTAGTAAAGATCCTTATGGATAACAAAAAAAAGATGTAAAAAAATATTAAGATAAAATTTCTACGTTTTCATGATAAAAAAATTTTAAAAACGTGTTTGTTTATAATTGTTTTTTTAATGAATATAGAAGTTATATTTTGTAGAAATTAAAAGATAAGGGTTTAATTATGCTATAAAAAGTATTTAAAATCTATTTTAAATTTACTTTTTTCAAGCATTTTTTAAAGAAAAAAACAGCAATAACATAAAAATCTTCATATGGGCATTTTATACTAAAAGAAAAAAAATACTTTATGTAAAAATGTATTAATCTATAAAACGTTTGAGAATTCGGTATTTTTTCTTTTTTTATTCGTTATGCAAGTATTTGCTACAAACAACAGGTTTTATATACAATGATATTATCAAAAACTTTATATCTTTGAAGCGTGCTTCGAAAGATAATGAAATTTTGTTTGTAGTAAATGTAGGAATAG